ATTAAAGTGTACTTAACTATTTTGAACATATTTTTGGATATCATATCTTTATGAAATTAAAAAAAAATAGTTTGATACAATATTTTATGAACATTGTCCATCTACGGTATGTTAAATCTACCACACTAACAAAATTATTTCTGTTTGCAAATGTTATTTAAAATCTGTACATAGAATCATTAAATTTTGAATACATATTTTAAAAGCGTATTTTATTTGTAAATATTAGTAATAGTTTCATTTTTTTAAATTATTAACTACTGTATTACAAATCAGTAGCACACATTACGTACAAAGTGTGTTAAAAAAATACCCAGAAAAAATTCCTACCATTAAATTATTAAGTGTTATAACACTCTTATTATATAGAAATTAGACAGAGATAATTTTCAATTCTCAAATATATAACCAGTCATTATCTCAAACTAGTTATTTACAGAGCGTATTTATAGTTAGTCATATTGTACAAAACTGTGATTCTATAATATAAAATATTTTGTGAAAATTGGGAAATATTTTAAAAATTATAAAAATGCTATGGATACTTGAGTTGATTGAGTTAACTTATAAAGATTTTTTTTATGTCATTGGTTGGGTTAGACTTTGATTGAATAACTCAATAGTTATAATATGGACTGTATTGTTTATAATAAATAATATTACATATTAACACTAGCGATACCACAATATTATATGGGAAATGTAACAGTCAACGACAGTTTGGAACAGGCTTTGCGGTCCATAGAAGCCTGGTACCGGTCATAAGAGTTTAGAGATATCAACCCGAGAATTTCCGTATTGACCATTAGAGCCCAGTGGTTTGATGTTAGCCTTATAAGCGTACATGCACCCACTGAGGGTAAACCCCAAGAGGAAAAGGAAACCTTTTATGAAGATTTAGAAAGTACTATAAATACACTACCCAACAACAATATACACATACTACTGGGAGACCTAAATGCAAAGATAGGAAAGGAGACAGTATTCAAACCAACAATCGGTTCACATAGTCTACATGATACAACAAATGATAATGGCCTTACACTTATTGACCTAGCAACAGGCAAAGGTCTTGTAATAAAAATCTCATTAAGGCACTCCGTCGAGTCCGTTTTGTGTAGCCTATATCGGAGGCTTCGGGCATTGACGATCAAGTTTTTTAAAATTGTATAATGTAATATAAACATAATATATTTGTTAAACAAATCTGTCCGGGTTCCTTAAAACAGTTTTATTCCTGGCCGGGTTGATCCGGGTTTTAATAACATAATTTTTACCCGGGTTTGGTTGGTCCAAGTTACAAAATAATATTTGATGGGCCGGTCCGGTCCAGATAAGTAGTATTTTTCAATTTCATGGTCCGGTCAGATCCCATTTTATTAGGACTGGACAGAACTACAGGGGCTGCAGTTGAATTATTACCTCCCATAACATAGACCACATTTTTTTTACATCAAATTCTCCCCAAATATCTGAGCTTGAAGCTGGTAACGAAATTGATGAATGTGGCTATGGTGGTTGTATTATGAAATCGTTATCTGTTCTAATTGATAGAAGTTTGTCATGTAGCTGCGTTATAGCTACATTACACTTATCGGTATTCATGGGTTTTAAGAAACTTGTAATACATGCAAAAAAAGTGAACGTCGACTCAAACGCGGTACACTTATTATAAGATCTTAAAATAATTTTAAAACTTCATTTTATTCTTAATAAAAGGCTTTATTTAGTACAAAAGTATTTTAAAGTACTGTCTTATTCTAGTTTAAATATAATATACATTTTTAAAATAACTGAAGTTGTTACATTAAAATAATTGATAGGTTTCTAAAATCTTAATGTCCATCATTATCATCACTAGTCGCTCCATTCGAAGTGGGCAGGTTCAAAATTTCATCATAGAATCCTTGATATTCTTGCGGGATGTATTGTCTGACTTTTGATATGTCCTGAATCTTTTTGGGGTTGACTGCAACTTTATCTTGATAGATTTTATCTTCCGGGAACAGCACTTCTTTTGTTTTATTGAGTTTAAAAGTTACACTTAGAAGACCGTCTATAAAGTTAGAAGCCTTCACATACCCTTTTAGTTCACTTTTATAAACCAAGTGTCTGTACTGGCTTATACTGAACTTTTCACCTTTTTTTTCTATATCAATCGCTGTTTTTTTGAAATACTGAGGCCACCATCCATGAAAGTTTAATATGTCATAATTTTTTATTGATTTTACTTCAAAAGTTGGTGAGAACTTTTTGGCTGTCTTAATAAGATTTTCATACTGACTAGGTACATAGATTCGAGTCGTGTGTGAGCAGCCGTCGTGTGTGTACGCGTTTATGGCCGCTCCGCGATAAAGTGGGTGCATTAGAAAATTGCAGTGCCCGTTTTTTGTGCTTTACGGGTCAAAAATTTAGGCTAGGCCCAACGGTTCGAACGCGGGGTCTCGCTGGTCGCTGAGCCCAAAATCGAACTTCCTACGCCTGTTTAAAGTTTGTTCAAATTGTATAATAGCGTGTGTGTAATAATAGTGTTATAATATATTATCACGGGCGTTAATGCAAGAGTTATCGACACATATGGTGGACGGGCCCAAAGTCAAACTCTAATAACTCGGCCCTGGGTGGTCGCAGAACCGCGATTCGAAGAAGCACTGATAAAGTTCCTTCCAGGGAACACGAAAAGCCAAGTCGGTAAACCGTAAGTGCTATAGATTTTGTTTAACTGGGCTTTTTAATTTAGTGCTGAGCCGGCACGCGCCGTCGAATTACATATTTGACTGTAGGCCGCGGAATTTCAACGGCGCGCGGAAAGTAGGCTGTGTTTACAACGCGTGTCATATGCGTTCGGAATTAATTTCCTTGCTATTTATGTTTTTTGTTTTTTTTTTTATTATTTAATTAAAAATTTCATTTTTGGAGAAAGAATGAAATAAAATTAAAATATAATAATAAAATACAAATAACGGTAAACGATGCCGTGGCCGTTTAGCTCAAAGCATATTAGCGCTTCGAGCTCACCAAAGGGTTCGAGAAAGGGCCTTTTGGACTCGACGCTCAATACAACGACCTCTTCTTTTCCGTCGTTTTTGGACACGACGGAGGAGACATTTGTCAAAAATTCGTTAAGTACTAGCCGTGCCTCAACATCCAAGCTAGGCCGAAATCCTTCCCCGCCGCTTCCCGTAAAAAAAGCAGCTACGGAGGGGAAAAGTGGGAGAAGAACACCAGGGGGAAAAGCGAGAAGGAGGGAAACAAGAAAGGTGCGGGATGGGCATCGACAGGAGCAGCCGCGGCCGCCGGAGGGATCGGACTGCTTGGGGGATTTGCAAGTAAAAACTCTTCCCTCAATGCCTCGTTGTTTGGACCCAAAGTAAATGGGACGGTGATCAACAACGGCGGCCGGGACATCCCAAGCTGGAAGAGCCACCAGTAGGCGCTAGCAGAGAAAGCGGCGTCGTGGGTAGCGCCTGCGGCGACAACGGCTGCTACCGCATCGACTGTAGTTGGCGGGAAAAAAGTGTTGGACCATGCACTACAAGCTACTGGCGATAATAGGGACCGCATGAAGGAGGGGGAGATTAGCACGCCGGCACCCACTCAAATATGCGACAGGGCAAAAGGCGGAATTGCGGTACCACCCGTTCACAAGATTGAACTGGATGGTGACGCATCGCCGGAAATAGGGGGGATGGAGCAACCCCCCACTGCAGCAGCTGCCAAGGAAGAACAGGACAGGGCACCGGTCTCTCCCGTTCATCAAAAGGAACGAGATAGTGATCCGGGGGCTCTGCAAGGAGAAAAAGGGCGCGAGAACAAGGTGGTACCCACGTTCCCAATGACTCGGGATTTGTAGACGACAAGGTGTCCGACTTTATATCGAGCATCATCCACGACCGCGGGACGATATACTCGCCTGGCGTGTACGAATATTGCTTGGAAAGGATGGCGAGCACCGGGGAACAGACTGGAAACGGAACAAGGAAAATTGGAGATGGATTCGAAATTGGAAAAAATACAGAAACCGCGGAATCAACGACCGGAAATAGGACCCCTGCGGTGAGGAGGTTGAACCCACCACAGCTATATGGCCTTCAACAAAAAATCAATCGAGAAAATATGGAATTACAAGGCAAAGAGCAAACCGTTACTGCGACAGGGGCTTCGGACACCCAGTCGCCGGTGGTGGAGAGTCATATCGCGAGCTCTCCGGCACCGTCGTCAAGCGATCGTGACCTACCGGGAGGGGCGTCGAGTCAGGCCCCAGGCGGTGGCATTAATGCCATCGAAACTACTGATTGTGTGCGTGAAGAGCAGGCGTACACGGGTGGACAAACCTCAATGTCCATCGACACTACTGCAGCAACAGGAAACGGAGAACGACCCAAAAAGACCTTTGGGCGTAGGACTACAAAGAGAGCCAAGCCGGAGACCTCCTTTGAGGAGGAGGATCTCCTTAACGAGGATGGGTCGCCAAAGGAAAACCCCGAGCAAGTAGAGGGAATCTTGACGGCCGGAATGGAAAGAGCAGCAGCCCAAGCTGAAGCTCTCATATGGCAATGGCAAACGTTGAGTTGCCTGAAACTGTGAAGGAGGCGGCTGACAAATTGATATTATTTGTGCGCGGCTTAGATTGTCTCCTGGCAATCAGAGAGAACCCACAACAGCAGCCGACAAATGCGTGCCTGGCAGAAAGCGACCAGGACATGAGAACGCTCAAAGAGAACGTCGAAGCTATCGAAGCCGAAAAACATGGCCACTTCATATTGGTCTTTGCTTATAAAGGCCACTAAAAGAACCTTAGTTTTAACTTTTACCAGATATTTTTTTGAGGTTAACAAATGAAATCTTTACTTTGTCATATTAACACACACACTAGGTAAGTAAATTATTAAGAAAAAAAAAATTAAATACTACAATGTTTATTATTTAAAATTGTTTACAATTATTTACAAATTTTACTTTTTTTTTTTTTTACAATATTTACAGTTTTTTACTATAGTTCACCATATTCTTAAAAAACTGTCGAACACGCTATTACAAATGGGACATCGGTTGTGTTCCAACCTGGCCACACAATCGAAACACAAAACCTTATGGCCACATGGTATTAAAGCGTGGGTACGAGGGTTGTCCCCACAAACAACACACCTTGTGTCCTCGGTATTGGAGGAAAGCTGTCCATCGTTAACAAATGGCACACGAACAAATGGCACAACAATTTCATTATCAAAATCTTCCTGCCAAACTTCCAGCACCATGTCTTCCGGGACAATAAAGTCTTCTTCACTGTATGTTAAATTTTCTAGATTTAATCAAAAGTAAGTAGACAATATAAATTAAAAATTAAAATAATATTAGATAAAACAATTTGATTTTTATACACACCAACTACATCGTTAGCATCAGGACCTGTGGTTTCCACATCATCTTCAGAATCTGTAATCAAAGTCAATGCTTATTATCTACTATTCGATATGCTTTATAATAATATATAATAGGGTAATGTAAATGGGCTAAAACACGGTATTTAAAAATACCTAGCTGTAATTGAAATTTAAATTATTAGTTTCCAAAGTAAAAAACATGATTTAAATAAAGTCTGTTATAAAGGTATTTTTATCTAAAACAGCAGGTACAACAAGTAAATTAGCTTCTTTTATTTATTTATAATTTTTGTAATAATTTCCTCCGTGATAAGTGTAGATTTATTTTCAATCGTTATGTTAGGTACAACTAAAATTATGGATATCCATCTTCAATTTTTAACTCAATCTCATTGAGTTCATCTTTTTTTTTTGATCAATTATCAATAGTAAATCACTAAAGGAATCATTAAAGAAGATTTCTCAATGTTATTATTTTTTTTCACTTAGCATACATACCATCGGTGTCGTTGTTTTGCCAATTAAGTTCTCTTTCGAGATATCTGTCAGTACTATGACAGCACTGAATCAAAAACTCCTTCACCGAGATTGATCCAGATGCCAAAAGTGCAGTTGAATTTCTCATTCGTATCGAGTTTAACAAATATTTAAATTTCTGACTTCTTGTTACTGCAAGTCCAGTACCTAGTTGACTAACCACAATATGCTGTTTAGCACTTATTATCTTCAGATGATCTATAACCAAATAAAAAACATACACACATAATATGTGTGTTCAGGATTATTCATAAATTCTGTATAGTATTTTTTTGATAAGATTTGTTTTAGCCAAGAAAGTTTTAAATAAAACGTTTATTATAATACTGGAAAAAATACTTCTATTGTTTTAAATATAACTAGATTACACGTATACTAAATGCAGTTAGTTTGTTTAAATTGACTGTGGTTCTCAACATAAACTACATTTTGTGATCTACCCTCGTTAAGTTGTATTATTTATTATTATATTATATTATATTTATTATTGTATTAGTTGTATTATTATTTTGCCTGGTGTATGAGGTTCCTCCAAACGAACCTCAACCATTGTAGGCTGGCCCAGGACACCCTGGCCCAGACGATCGCTGAGGAAGCGATCGACGTGGTCATAGCCTCGGACCCGTACAGGCAGGTACACGGAGTCGGTGGCTGGCTAACTAGCACCGACACTGGTCGAGCGGCCCTGGGAGTGTTCGGGACAGGAGTGACGGTGGGATCCGTCGAGAGGGATGTAGAGTACGTGGCAGCAAGGATAGGTGGCACACATATCTATAGCTGTTAAGTCTCGCCAAACATCCCGCCAGCCCGTTTTGTATCCTTTTTGGAAAGGTTGGAGACCAGCGTACGGTCCCTTGGGCCAGCCAGTAAGGTTTCCATCATTGCGATCATTGCGGGCGACTTCAACGCGCGTTCGGCTACCTGGGAAGACTGGGTAACCAACGCGCGCGGAGATGGCTTGGTCTCAGTTGCTGACACACTGGGCATGATCATCGTTAACGAGGGGACAGAACCTACCTTTGTGGGTAGGGGTGCTGGCTCCATCGTAGACGTTACGATGGCCTCCGAACCCGCTGCACGCATGTTAAGGGGATGGAGGGTGCGGTCAGAGGTGGACAACCAATCCGACCATCACGCCATCGAGTTCGAGGTGACCGCGGGCACCACCCCAGCAAGCCCGCCAACCCACCTCCAGGTACGAGGATGGAATACTGCCAAGGGGATCGACCTAGAGGCTTTCCGTATAGGCTCGTGATGAGAAAGCTTAAGGGGGCCCCAGATACGGACCGCATGGAAGCCGCCACGTTGGAGAAGGTGACGAGAGGCCTGTTCCCGGACAACAGGGCAGTGACACTCGACCCTGTCTTACCGCCACTAGCACCGGAGGCTCCGGAATTCTCACGGGGAGAAATAGGAGCAGCGGTGGCACGCGTAAAGGGCAGAAGGAAGGCCCCGGGACCAGACTGTATCAGCAATGCGATCCTGGCGTCGGTCTACAAGGCAGACCCCGACTTTGTAGCCGACACGCTCAACGCCTGCCTCAAAGCAGGATGCTTCCCCACCCGTTGGAAGCAGGCCCGAGTGGTGCTGCTTCGTAAGGGCCAAAAGCCGGCCGGTGAGCCATCATCGTACCGCCCTTTGTGTCTCCTGAACGACGTGGGGAAGTTGATGGAGCTCTTACTAGTTCGTCGACTGGAGAAACACCTCGAGGAGAGAGGTGGACTCTCCGACCGGCAATTCGGCTTTCGGAAGGGAAGATCGACGGACGACGCAGTGCGTTTGCTCCGGGATGAGGCCCAGACAGCGATAAACGCGCGCAAAGTATGTGTGGCTGTCAGCTTGGACGTGAAGAACGCGTTTAATTCGATCGGCTGGCGCCACATCATGCGGGCCCTACAGGAATGGGAAGTGCCGCTGTACCTGCAGCGCATCTTCCGGTCCTATTTCTCGGAGCGAGCAGCCAGGGTCGCGTGCCCAACAGCTGACGGTGGAGAAGTCACCATCGAGGTATCCTGCGGCGTTCCACAGGGTTCGGTGGTCGGTCCGACCTTGTGGAACCTTACGTATGACGCGGTGCTGCGAGCCGATCTACCGGACCAGGCGACGGTCATCGGTTTCGCGGACGACACGTTGATCATCGCCTCCGGCAAGACGGTCGAGGATGTGGAAGATAGGACAAACCGAGCTCTGTGTGCGGTGGTAGCAAAGTTCCGGGAGCTGGATCTCCAACTCCCCGTCGAGAAGACGGAAGCGGTGATGATCAGGCGCAGGTACAAGGTTAGCGATTCGCGTATCTTCCTGAACGGGGTAGAAGTTAAGCTGGGAGAGACGATCAACTATCTTGGAATGCTAATCGACCACAAGCTTAACTTCAAGCAGCACGCCAAAGCCGCGGCGGTCAAAGCGCAGGGTGCGCTCACGTCGTTGACTAGGCTTATGCCTAACATCGGCGGCCCCCGTGAGCCAAGGCGGAGGCTACTCGTCAGTGTCGTCCACTCCATTCTCCTCTACGGAGCACCGGTTTGGGCCAGCGGGCTAAACCAAGCCAGAGTAGGGGAATTGAGGAAGGTGCAGCGCAGAGCTGTACTTCGCAGTGTCTGCGCGTACCGCACCGTGTCGTACGACGCAGCCAACGTGCTGGCTGCGATACCGCCGATCGACCTGCTGGCGAGGGAGCGAGAAGAGGCGTTCGGCCTCCGCCGGCAAGCAGAAGAAGGATCCGGACAACGGGCCCCCCTCAGGACTGCTACCCTCGGCAAGTGGGAGGACAGACTTCGGACAGCAACAGGAGGTGAGTGGACGAGAACGCTCGTCACTGACCTCCGGAAATGGGTTGGACGGAAGCACGGGATGATGGGCTACCGCCTAACCCAGTTGCTGTCTGGGCATTGGTGCTTCAACGAATTCATCCACAGGATCGGCAAAGCATCCAGTCCATCATGCTCACACTGTGAAGGCATGGTGGACAGTGCCTATCACACGCTAGTGGAGTGTTCGGCCTGGGAGTCCCAAAGGCGGGACCTCCAGAACGTCGTCGGCGAAGTTGTCCCGGAGACACTGGTCGCCAACATGATTGCAAGTTCTGATGCGTGGAACGCGGTCGCCCGCTTTGCCGAGTCGGTCCTCAAAGAGAAGGAGGAAGCAGAGAAGGCTAGACAGCGGCCGGCCAATTGAGAGCCCCAGCGTGCAAGGGTGGCGTGTGCGCGAGTCACTGGTCCGGAAACATTCCACCGACTGTACATAAACTTGTATAGACTAATAAACTTGTAACTAAATTTCGTTGTGGCCTAATGTGAATATTGTTAATAGGCCACCACCCGAAGTGGGTGTGTTAGTTTTTAAGTTTATGATTGTATTTATTGTTTAGTATACCCAATAAATGGCATCGGAGACTGGGGGAAGTAATTCCTCACAAGGCACGTCCCCCCACCAGTATTCTATGGGTGCATGTGAAAAAAAGGTACATAGATTCGATCAAACCTCCTTACTGCTCGCTTTATCACTGAAAAGTTGCGGTCACAGGGCAAAAAACTGTGCCCTCGTACTGGAAAATATTGGTGGATGATGGAAAATGTGTTGTTCATTGTCATAGCCAAAAGCATTCTAGTCACCGTATGGTTTCTATTTTGGCCACCACACGCGTCACTAAATACATGGAGTTCCTTAACTTCATCTGGTATTGTGTTGAAAAAATCATTAAGAAAGCTACAGACTTCATTTGGACCCCTTTTGGCGGTCCCTTCAGTGTATGTGTAAAATACAGATCTATTTTTTCCAATATCATGAATATTGATTGAATACATATAACTATAACTTACGTAGGTAGAACATTTCCTGGACTGGCATGAATGGGAGGGGGAGGTTTTGCATGTAATCGAATGTTATGGCCATAACGTCTCTTCTGTTTTTACAAACTTCAGAAACTTCGTTAAATTTATTATAAAACTTTTTTGCTCTATTTTTGTGAACTACTAATTCTGCAATTCTACTAATTCCTCAACCCGCATCCTCGGTTGCCGACAAAAGTGAGTTATATACATCAACAAAAGACCTGATTTCGCAGTTACACCTGCATTGCAGTTTATAGGCAGGTGCGGCTTAACAGGTCTCTACAGGTTAAGACACGTATAAACCCATTTAACGTTGTTTTAAAGATATCCTCCCTCTAAATCGAAATGATGAATTTTTATTGGTTCCAACCCCCACACAATTCATTTTCATAAATTGTTTAGACCGCGGTTGCAATGGGGTGTATGAAACATTCGTTGTTCAATATTCGGGCTCTTCAGTTCTATGCAATAGTACGTTTTTAAAGTGTTTAATTTGTTTGAAAAAAATACTTAACCAACTATAAACAAGATGTCTGCACCGACCGCCGCAATCTACAAAAAGCAAAAGTATATCTACTTTCCACCAACTCCACCAAACGAGCTCATCGCATGTAACAGCTATACATTAGACTTTAACGGTCGCAAATTCATTCAAATTGGAATCGACCCTAAAAATTCGTTAAGTGTTATGATTCATATTATAAAAACCGTCCAGATATGTGAGTATAACCGTCGAGTATATGAAGACTATATATTCAATAATGGGTGATATACTGTCTAATATTATGGAGAATTCGGGAAAAAAACACAAACAATCTTTTTCTCTGACAACAATCTTTTATTAACTAAAATGATATACAAAGAAGAAAATGTATTAGTAATCGAATCGCAAACACAAGACGGTTGTCGCATTCTACTCAATCGTATGGATCTAGTTAAACTAGCTGAAATGGAATACATAGTTCACGAATGTTTGGAAAGACACTTAACAATCAACCTGGAAAAAGTCAAGGAACAAATGCAGATGATGATAAAGTATTACAATGGACGTTTCTTCCCTGACAAAAAAACAACGAAATTCGAATTATCCAGCTACATCAAGGAGGTCTCATGCAACACTATAACGTCTGCGATAGATCCAATGGATGAAGTCAACTACATAAGTGAAATTAAACGATTTGCTGTGGAGGAATTGATCGACGTGTGGATGAAGAAGTTAAACAAACGACTTGAACCATTAAAGGTATTGTATAAAACTTTTTTTTAAAACTCATAATAATAATAATAAGTTTTGTAATACATGATAACTTTGTTTAAAGGTTTGCGATGTGAACGATGGTCCTACCAGTTTTGATTACAAGAACGAGTCAGATTCGCAATGTTTTCAATTTTCATCACAATCACCAACATATGAAAGTTTTCAACTAACAGAAAGGCACACCTGGGCACCACGCAAATTGGAATTTTAAGTGTGTATACTTTGTCAAAAAATATATACTATTAAAAATCTTTGGTTTAAATAAAAAAACAAAAAAATTAATTTAACAAAATTAGAAATGTTTTTATTTATTTTTTTTTACTTTTAAAACTAACTCATACAAAATAACGTATAGAAATATTGAAATAAAATAGAATAATATAAAAGGTTACATGAAATAATTTCATAAAAAAAAGGTTTACAAAAAATGTTAAGTCATCCAAATCAGTAAATATAGTTACAAAAAAATTACAATTTTCTAACATCACCCGAAAAAGGGTTGTAAGTAATAATTTGATCATGTAGAATCATACAGTATGCTGAGGTATTTGCAGGGAAAGCTTCTAAAGCTTCAATTTCAATTCTCAAGTCAATAGTACTAACTTTAAGTTCATCATCCTGATGACTAAGGTCAATGACCGCTACAGGCATAATTTTTAAAAAAATGTTCTCTATTAAGAAGTGGTGCAGCGCTATCCCGATCATAGTAAGATTTTTGAAAGTCTGTATATGCTTTATAGAACAGTAAATATAACCCTTTAGGATAGTCGGCACGAAAATCTTCATAGGGGTATACTTGTGTATTTAAATATACTTTTAAATTAAATAGTTTACAGTTATCAAAAACGGACATGGATGACGTATAGGTATTTTTTCGATTAGTTTGAAATCCTACAACAATATAC